GTCATAACTTCCCTCCTTTGTCCTTGAGTGGGCCAACCTTTTCTCTAGTTACCCTCTTGCTCCTTATGTACGAATAAAAGGCACAAGGTGCAAGTAAGACCACATCTGGAGTACAGTGAGCAGTTTTGGTCCCCGTATTTGGGGAAAGATTTTATTTCATTAGAGGCGGTTCAGAGAATATTCACTAGGGTGATCCCAGAATGAGATAAGAGATTGCCTTCTGAGTAAACAGGTTGGGACAATACTTATTGAAATTTAGAAGAATGAGGTGATTTTATTGAAACAAAGAGGAGTCTTAAGGGGCTTGATAGGGCAAATGTTGAGAGGATGTTTCTCCTCATGGGAGAGTCTAGGACCAGAGGGCATCGGCTTAGAATTAAGGCGTGCCAATTTAAGAAGTGAGATGAGGAGGATTTTCTTCTCTCACTGGGTTTGGGAGTCTTTGGTACTCCCCACACACAGAGATAGGAGAGCAGAGTCTCTATGTATATTTATGACTGAAATGGTTAGATTCTTGATTAGTTGGGGAATCAAGGGTTATGGGAAAGGGCAGGAAAATGGGTGTGAGAAATGTCAGATCAGCCATGATCCTCCTGAATGGTGGGGTAGCAGCGAGGAGTCAAACAACCTACCCCTGTTCTTATTTCTTACGATCTTTTATGGATCTTTCAGACACTGACAAGAGTCTTTGAGATATTAGTGGCCTGTTACAGTTGCGACAGAGTTTTTATGCATACAAATAAGATGAAGAAGCATATCTCATTTCCATGTTGCTGGAGCTGGTGAAGTTGCTAGCTTGCATCCTTCCTCTAGGAAGAGACTCGGTATTGTACAGAACGACAGAGACTTGCCTAACAATGAGTATGAATTTGGCAAGGTAGAAGTGCTGTGTCCAATTGATGCAAGGGTGAAGCTATCAACTGCTACTTACCAAATTTTCCAAGAGTATCTTGCTGAAGAGTGTGAGCAATTTGATGTCTCTGCCCTCATCCATGTCTCTGCTTCGCAGGAATTGAGCTATCCTTTTTTGGCTGCATTGAGCTCGCCCTGTCTGTCCTCAATCACACTTTTCATAACATGGGGTTTCTGATTATTCATGAGCTGATCAGTCCTCCATTGCAGGTAAGTGGAGGACTTGGGGCCGAATGTACTAAGGAATATCCAGATATCCTTGGAAAGCAGGTATGTTACATAGACTGCAGATGGAGCACAGGAGAATTTGAGCTCCCTCCATGTGCTCAAGCCTATAGAGGACCCTAGAACTGTTCAAGTGGCAGGGAATGAGGCTGTTATTTTACCTGCCTGCACCATCACTGTTCACGAAAGTTCATGTCAGCCGAGTCCAAATGATCAATATCAGCCCTTTAAAACATCACGTGTAACAGAGTTGCCACTTGGTGTGCCTAAATCTGCCACTGTCATGAGCAGTGGTTAACTTGAGGAGTCCTGTCTAACCTTGTTTCAAAGATGGACATTGACGCAGAGTTGGAGGAAACCCAGAGGAGGCAGCTTGTTTCCACTCTCACCAAGTACAGGACAACTGTCAGTAAAGGTGATGATGACACTGGGTATTGTGACCTGGTGAGCCACCGGACTGTGACTAACAATGACCATCCAGTAAAAGATTCGTCACTGCAGGATCGAAACCCATTACTCGGAGGAAGTCCAGGAATTAACTACAGTGGTTTTTGGCATAAGGAGTCATCTAAGAGGTGCCAAGTCCACATGCTTCCCCCATTTTTTTCCATGAAGAAGGAAGATGGAAAGTTAAGAATCTGTGTCAATAGCGGACACTCAACATACACATTTATGATGCTTCTCCCCTGTCTAAAATTGAGGAGGCAGTGCCAGTTCTCAAAAATGCAATGTATTTCTCCTTCTTGATTTAGCCTACAGTTATAACCAGTAACCCATTGTTGAACAAGACATTGAAAAGACGGAATTCTAAATAGCTATCTGGAGAACTCTACATATACAGAAGAATGTAACTTGGGTTCTGTGATCCCTGTCATCTTTTTCAAATGAGTAGTTAGAATGTGGTATGCACAGGCTAGAAATTTGGAGGAAGAGGTTCAATTGAGGCATTTAGGGGAGATAAAATGGTATCCAGGGATACAGGAAATGGCAGGAGATTGGCACGAGGTAATAGCTCCAGTGTAGGCATGATGGACTGAATAGCCTCCTGCGCAATAACAATTCTGTGACCCACATGGTAATTTCACTATACACAGCGTATTTGGTTCTTGTTTATTCTCAATTTCCTTTCCTACTTGTGATGGCCTAGTACCAATGGAGTAAAGAATCCCTGTTTCATGTTGTTGGGCTGCAAATATGTTTAAAAATCGTATCACACAAGATCTTAGAATGGTCTTTTCCAGTGTATTGACCATTCAGCCCATTAGTATCAATGCTGTATCTTTATAAGGACAACTTGGCTTGTGCCATTTTTCCAGATTTTCCCCAAAGAGCTGAAAACCTTTTCTGTTCAATTGCTTATCCCAATTCTTTGGAAAACTGTTTTTCTATCCTCCCGACCATACTCTCCAATAATCAGTGCCAGATCCTTACAACTCTCCATATGGAGAATAAGCTTTCCTTCAATGCGCTATTGATTCTTTGGCTTTACAACCATTCTGCTGTTAAGTTTCACCTCCTCTACTCAGTCTAGACCCTAATAATTTTGAACAGCTCTATCAAATCTCCTCCACCTCTCCTCTTCACAGTGAAAAATAACCCCAGTTTTCCAATCAATCCACCTAACTGAAGTTCCTCACCCTTGGAGCCATTCTCAAAAATCTTTGCTGAACTCTCACTAAAGTCTTCACACCCTTCCTAAAAGCGGTGGTTCCAAAGTTGAACGCAATACTCTACTAAAGGGCAAATCAGTGTACTTTTCAAAGGTAATTGTAACAGCCTTGCTTTTATATCCTACATCTGTTTATGGAGGCTAGGATTCCAAACCTTTTTCAGTTATTTTTGCAATCTGCAACACACAAAGGGGTGTTCATAGAACATAGAACATAGAACAGTACAGCACAGTACAGGCCCTTTGGCCCACAATGTTGTGCCGACCTATTATCCTACTAAGATCAATCTACCTTGCATATCCTACGTTTTACTATCCTCCATGTGCCAAACCAAGAGTCACTTGAAAGTCTCTAAAGTATCTGACTCCACTACCACTGCTGGCAGCGCATTCCACAGGCCCAAAACTCTCTGTGTGAAGAACCTACCTCTGACATCTCCCCTATACCTTCCACCAATCACCTTAAAATTATGTCCCCTCATAATAGTCATTTCTGCCCTGGGAAAAAATCTCTGACTATCCACTCTATCTATACCTCATCATCTTGTACACCTCTATCAAGTCACCTCTCATCCTTCTTTGCTCCAATGAAAAAAGCCCTAGCTCCCTCAACCTTTCCTCATAAGACCTGCCCTCCAGTCCAGGCAGCATCCTGGTAAATCTCCTCTGCACCCTCTCTAAAGCTTCCATATCTTTCCTATAATAAGGTGACCAGAACTGAACACAGTATTCCAAGTGTGGTTTAAACAGAGTTTTATAGAGCTGCAGCATAACCTCACGGTTCTTAAGCTCAATTCCCCTGCCAATGAAGGCCAACACACCATACGCCTTCTTTACAACCCTATCAACTTGTGTAGCAACTTTGAGGGATCTATGGATGTGGACCCCAGGATCCCTCTGTTCCTCCACACTGCCGAGGATCCTGCCATTAACCCATATACCGTAAAGGTGCTCTCATCATACTTTCAACCATTAAATGCCATACTACACTTCTGCATGTTCAATTTCATCTGCCACATCTCCACCCATCCTAGCGACTGATTTCCTCTTGATGTCTAATTGTTACATTCCTCACAGGTTGGGGTCGGGGAAAGGCGTGGTTGGCGGTGATGGACTTCTATAGGCCACAGGGTGCCCAACAAGGTGGGTTCCCTCCTAAATTGGGGAAGCACACTCAGATTAGCAGAATGGTCTCCATGCAACAGGGAGATCAATCATACTGATAAAATGCCATGGGCAGCAGGAAGAGACCTTTCATTGGCCACATGGCCTATGGGCAAAATGTTATAGCAGCAGAAGCGAATGGGCATGCACCACCCCATCCACTCAACCATTTCTTTATTAGCCTTTTCCACTTTGAACACAGCCTTTTCATGCCTTCTCATGTCTCAGCACTTCACCTGCAGTTCCCAGAATCTAGTCTACTGCATTCGCTACTCACAATGCGGTCTCCTCTACATTAAGCGCAGACTGGGTTATTGCTTCACAGAACATCTACGTTCTGCTCACAAAAAAGACCCTGAGCTACCTGTTGCCTGTCACTTCAACACACCACCCTGTTCCCTGGCCAACATCTCTCTGGCTTGCTGCAGTGTTCCAGCAAAGCTCAGCGCAAGCTGGAAGAACTACACCTCATTTTCCGCTTGGGGACCCTGCAGCCCTCCGGACTTAATTTCGAGTTCAATAATTTTAGGGCCTGAACTTTCCCATTTCCTAGCCCCTACTCTCACACACCAGGCATTGCTATCACAGGGCCTGCCATTACATACCACCAGCTGTTAGTCACTAACAGTCCCCATTAATAACTATTCACTCTCCCAACCAGATCTTTATCAACTCCTTTGTCTGTCCAACTGTTCTTCTCTCTCTTTATGCGCTATCCTATCATTTATTCCCTACCTCAACCCCCTCCCTATTTTCTGCATATAAACTGACATTTTCCCAGCTACCATCAGTTCTGAGGAAGGGTCACTGGACCCGAAACATTAAGTTTGATTTTTTCTTCACAGATGCTGCCAGACCTGCTGAGCTTTTCCAGCAACTTCTGTTTTTATTCTTATGTCTGTTGCTGCAGAAACCTCTGCCTACTCCTCTAATTATGGAATCCCCGAGGTATAGTTTATGTCCTCTTATTAATGTCATATGGTAATTCAGCAATCAATCCACTAATTAGTGTCATTTCTGTCATTTGCAGGTGGGAAAGGTTTTATGTTTACAGTTGATGACATCAAGTCTGGTGTTGTTCATTACCATCATGATGACAGTGACTCCACAAATGACTTCATCGCATTTAGAATTTTTGATGGTAATCATAGCACCCGGCACAAATTTCCCATTCACATCCTTCCAAAAGATGACAGCCCTCCATTCCTCATCAACAATGTCATCCTGGAACTCTATGAGGACCAGGAAATCCAGATTGAGAAGGTGATGCTTCAAGCCTCAGATATGGACTCAAGCGACAATTACATTATCTTCAAAATCATCAAACCACCTCAGGCTGGACAAATTCTGAAAAGAACAGCTCCTGAACCCTCAGGTATTTTGTTTGAAATGGATGTTGATGATGCAGAATCAAATGTATTGCTGTTTTATTTTGTTATTGAAAATTAGTTCTTCTGCCAGACAACACATCTTTAGATCTCATTCTAACAGAGTAGCCCTGATATTTCTTGTTCTCTCATCAGTAGCTGTCACACTGTGTTCTTTCATTAGCCCATGTTACAACTGAATGGTTCACATATAAAAAGGTGAACTGGATTTTTACTCAATTTGATATTTTTTCCCAACCAACAGTTAACAAAGAATGATTAAGACTGCAAAGTTAGTTGTAATGGAGAGGTTGGTCGTTATAATAAGAATGAGGACATAACTACTAAACTTGCATTTCATTGGTTTGGTTGGATTAAACTTTTCTCCTGGGGGTGAGGAAATGTGATGGATCTTGTGGTGGAGATATGAAATGTCTCACAATATTAGGTCTTTGCATCTCATTACAACTTTTGAATTTGGTCATAAAGTACTTTTTTTTGGGCAGCTGTGTTCGATGGTGAATACACGCATGTGTGTTAATGGATGCAGTTGTGAACAGTGATGGGCTGGGGAGGTGGGGAAAAGATCAGGGCTTGGGTGGTTTAGGGTAAATCGGGCCATCTGTTCTTTCCCATCCCCACAAACTGCCACCCCCAACCCAAGCCCCATCCAATTCCGGTTTCAATGTTGAGCTTGTTTTGCGTGTATGCGGGAAATGCAGAATTACAAGTTTAGGGTAGGGGTGGTGGGACTAGGTAGAATGCTCTTCAGAGGGCTGGTATGGACTTGATGGGTGGAATAGCCTGCTTCCATATTGTAGGGATTCTATGATTCCATGCACAGTATGGACTTTGTGCATGGCACAATGATGTACAGAAACCATGTGCGCATGTTTCCAAGTGAGGAACATGTGAAGTTGTTCCAGAGTTCCAGTGTCAGCAAATACTGCTCTTTCGGACAACAGCTTCATCACTCTCCAACAAGCTATGCAGGGAGGGTACCAATGCCCATTTTTCACTGGATGTGTATTGCTTGTTACATTGAGGGGCACTGAGTGGTTTAACAACCGCTTGAAATCCTTTACCCCCTGCCCCTCACCTCTGCCTCACAAGAGTTGTTTAACCTACTGACACTAATGGCACTTTAGAAAACCAGGCATACAAGTACCTGCAAATCATCCAATTTGTTTATGAGACTCCTAACATTGAACTAAATACCATGCAACCTTGTCAAACTCCCTTGTACTTTAACTGGACTATAATGTCTATGCCTTCCTGACTCGTTTGCTATCACTTCTAATATTAGCCATTCATTTTCCCCTGCTGAACATTCTCTCTGGACCCTACTTCCCTGCCAAGGTGGTTTAAACCCTCCCCAACAGCACTAGCAAATTTCTGTGCAAGAATGCAGGTCTCATTCTGGTTCAGAGGAAACTATCCACCTTGTACAAGTCCTACTGCAGTCCTAATGTCCCAGAAGACGAAAGCCCTCCCTCCTGCACTATTTCTCTAGGCACACATTCATCTAGACTAACTTGCTGTTCCTATACTCACTCGTGGCACCGGAATCATAGAATCCCTACAATGTAGAAACAGGCCCTTCCGGCCCACACAAGTCCACACCAACCCACAGAGCATCCCACCCAAACCCATTCCCCAAACTCACCTAATCTACACATCCCTGAACACTATGGGCAATTTAGCATGGCCAATCTACCTAGCCTGCAAATCTTTGGATTGTGGGAGGAAACCGGAGCACTCAGAGGAAACCCACGCTGACACGGAGAGAACATGCAAACTCCACACAGACAGTCGCCCAAGGGTAGATTCGAACCCGGGTTCCTGGCACTGTGAGACAGCAGTGCTAACCACTGAACCACCATGCCAAGGATTAAGTAAGCCAAAGAAAAAGTAAGCCAAAGATTACTACCTTTTCAAGTCCTGTTCTTTAATTTACTTAGCTCCCTAAATTCTACTTTTAGAACCTCATTCTTTCTTCTACCTATGTCATGGGTACCAATATGCACCACAGTCTCTGTCTATTTGCCCTCCCCCTTCAGAATGCCCTGCAACCATTCAGTGAAAATTCAGTTTGTTTCCCTCCAGTTGAATCCCCTACCGCTATAGCCCTGCTGCTCTTTTTCATCCTCCCTTGTGCAGCAGACCCAACCATGGTGCCATGATATCTTCCCCTGCACAGTCATCTCCACCAACATCTCTCTCCAAAATAGTATATCTTTTAGAAAGGCAGATGGCTGCAGGGGACTCCTACCTTCCTCTACTCTGCTTGCTGGTCACCCATGTCCTTTCTGCCTGTCCAGTCTGCACCTGTGGTGTGACCATCTCACTGAATATACTACCCACAACTTGCTCAGCATCATGAAGCTCCACAATGAATTCACCTGTAGCTCCAGATCCAAAGTGCTGTTCTACGCCATTAATAAATCCATATAGATTCATAGCTTCATAGAGCTGTATGGCATGGTAACACACCCTTTGTTCCAACTTGTCCATGCTGACCAGATATCCTAAATTAATCTAGTTCGATTTGCCAGCATTTGGCCCACATCCCTCTAAAACCTTCCTATTCATGTATCTATCCAGATGCCTTTTATATGTTGTAATTGTACCAGCCTCGACCATTTCCTCTGGCAGTTCATTCCGTACACATACCACCCTGTGCATGAAGAAGCTGTCCCATAGGTCCCTTTTAAACCTTCCACCCTCACCTGAAACCTATGTCCTCTAGCTTTGGACTGTACTCGTGTGGGGAAAAGACCTTGGCTATTTACCCTATCCATGCCCTTTATGATTTTATAAACTTCTATAAGGTCACCCTCAAACTCCGACACTCCAGGGAAAATAGCCCCAGCCTTTTCAGCTTCTCCTCATGGCTCAAACCCTCCAATCCTGGCAACATCCTTGTAAATCTTTTCCGAGCCCTTTCAAGTTTCACAATATCCTTCTTATAGCAGCGACACCAGAAATTAATGTAGTATTCCAAAAGTTGCCTAACCAGTGTCGATTTTTATAGAGTTGGGAAGACTCCCTAGCCAAATGGTGGCTGGGAACTGTATGCAGATATCCCATCCCCATTCGAACAGATCCAGCTATTGTCTACAGTCTGTAATTCACACATGAAGGAAACTTGGACTCAGTACAGCCATTCAAACTGAACCCCCTTAGTTCCTCATCCCAGAGTACATGTTTAATCCCTGTTTAACATTCTTAATTGAATCAGCTTCCATTACCTGATCTAGATCTCAAAAGGCCTTTTGAGGGGGAATAAAACCACCCCAGCTCCACGGCTACACCAGTATAGTAACAGCAGTAGGAAGGGAGAAAGCAGCTCATGACGCAAAGGATCTAGACTAGTTACGCAAATGGAACAAATCCACCCCAGCTCCATGGTTTGCCAATCATTTTCTGAATACTCTATCTCTGCTGCACCTTGGGGAAAGCCTATTGGATTTAATCAAATCTCCCCTTAATATTAAAACTAAGAACTGTGGCTGCTGAAAATCAAAAACACAAACAGAGAATTCTGGAAAACTCAACAGACCTTGCAGCATCAACGCAGAGAAAGCAGATTTACTGTTTCAGATCCAGTGACCCTTCTTCAGAACTCTTCAGAACAACTTCTTTTACTCCTCTCACTTTCTTCAGCTCAGCGGTGTGGCCATGGGCCTGAGTTATGCCTATCCCTTTGTGCGGTACATGGAACATTTCTTGTTCCAATCTTACTTGGGCACCTACCTACAACTCTTTCTCTGGTACATTGATGACATTATCGGTACTGTTTCCCTCTTTTGTTCTGAACAGGTATTTCACTGTCAATTTCTACCCTGTTCTCACCTTAACCTGGTCTATCTCTGACTCACTTCCTTAACATCTGTGTTTACATTTCTGAGGGTAGGCTGGCCGCCACTATCCACTACAAATGCACTGACTCCCACAATTACCTGGTCTATAGATCCTTACACCCTACTTGATGTAGCAAGTCCATTCCATTCTCCCAATTTCCCCGGATCTGTTGTATCTGTTCTGATGATGTCAAGCTTCTACAAGGGGGGCCTCTGAAATGACCACTCTCTTCCTCGACCAACGATTCCCCACCACTGCAAGACAGGGTCCTCAGCCATGTCTGACTCATCTACCGCACTTCTGCTCTCACCCTTTCTCTTCCATCCCACAACACTGATAGCATCCACATTCAACATACTGTTAGCCACTATTTCCACCACCCCCAGTGAGATATCACCACCAGACACATACTCCCCTCCCCTCCCTTGTCAGCCTTCCACAGGGACAGTTCCCTCCAAGGATGCTTTGCTCCACTCCTCCTCTACTCCCAATGCCTCCCCACACCAACATGTCACTTTCCCTTGCAATCGCACAAGGTGTAATGCCTGCCCATTTACTTTCTTCCTCCTCACAACCCAAGGCCCCAAACACACCTTCCAGGTGAAGCAGCAATTTACCTGCCCTTCACTCAGTTTAGTCTACTGTATACACTGTTCACAATGTGGTCGCCTCTACTCTGCAAAGACAAACCACATGCTGGGTGTCCTATGTTGTGTCTGTAAAAATGACCCTGAGCTTGTTGTAGCTGACCAGTTTGTTGCACCACTATGCTCCCTGGCCAACATCATTTGAGAGTTGGGTGACAAGGTAGCTCAGTGGTTAGCACTGCTACTTCACGGTGCCAAGGGACCCAGATTTGATTCCAGCATTGAGTGACTGTGTGGAGTGTGCATGTTCTCCGCATGTCTGTGAGGGTTTCTTCCAGGTGCTTCAATTTTGTGCCACGGTCCAAAGACGTGCAATTTAGGTGGATTGGCCATGTTATATTGCCCATGGATGTGCAAGCTAGGTGGGTTAGAGATGGGGTGGGTCTGGGAGGGACGTTCTTCAGAGGGTCAGTGTGGATTTGATGGACCAAATGGTCTGCTTCCACACTGTAGGGATTCTATTCCAAAAAGTGTCACTAGACGTTCTCTCCAGCTGCTGCCAGACCTGCTGAATTTTTCTAGCAATTTCTGTTTTTGTTACTCCACTTGATCTTATTTGTTCCCTGAGAACAATCTTAAGTTTTCCAACCTCTCCTCATAACTGAAACTCTCTTTTCTTTCCCTCTGGTAACATCCTTGTGAGCTTCTACTTTTTGAAGCCCAGAATGTTTGTTTTCCTTATTCCTTCGAAAGGTGTTATGATACTATCATGATTAAAGATTATTGCCTGCCTCTAACTGGCGCTGAAATGGTGATAATAAATCTTGTTATTGAATAACTGGAGTAGGATAAGGCACTCCCACAATGTCATTAGGGAAGATGCTTTGCTCCAGTGATGATACAAAAAGTGGTGATATATTTTCAAGTCAGGAAAGCATGTGACATGGAGGGGAAGCTGGAAGCCCATAAGCTGTAGGCATTTACACAAAATTTCTAAGCTGTAAAAGTCATGTAGAGAAATAGTTTTGGACAAATCCATATATCTCTTTGTAAAGGGGTAAAATGTCCTTTTTGATTATTAAAAGATAACAAAAATGTATGTAAAATTACTGAATCAAAGCATTGGAACTGTGGAGTTGTCAAGGTATTTTCAATCAAGCTCTGCAAATTGAATATGAACAGCCTGCTGTCACTCCCTGCAATTTCAGTTGTCAGTTTTTGAGGTAAACCTGAGGATTTTCATTGAATTGGTGCTGCATAACTGACTTTACAATTTATAATCTCTATGTGTTGTGGGGGGGGAATGAGGTGGAAAAGTTTACAGTTCAATTAACAGCTCCAATTAATGATCAAATTTTTGATGTGGGACTTGAATACAAATAGTTGTTTTAGTAAGTAAATACTTCAAAGATTAAAATATAGAAAATGGGTTTTTATTAATATGATTTTTACTTGTGGCATTAATAGTCTACACTTGCAACATTATTTTAGTTCAACTAGCATGGTTCTGAGGTCTGCCCATGGTGAGATACTGTGTGGATTGTCATGGATGAGTTTAAGAGAAAATGGTGCTCGATCAGGAATCATGGGTTGGAATGAATTGGCACTAAAGTGGCATATGGGATTTAAACAGCCATGTGGATGAGCAATGGTGAGTCATTGGTTACAAATTGAGGCAAAGTCACTAAAAGAGCTATACAGTACCACAAGATGGACAGAGGAGCACAGTTTGGCATGTATAGGGCGTTGGGAGAGGGAATCAGAAGGTGTGCATGGTAAAGTGTGGAGAAATGTTTTATGAGGTTTATTTTTAACATGGGGATAAAGTCATGGGATGGAGCTCTCCACTGAAGTACTGCACACAGTCGATATGATATCTGGAAGTCAGGAACATTTGCTCCATAGGAACAATCAATAAGGTGCCTCCCCTTCCATAACTTCCTGATGTATTGTCAATAAAGAGCTTTATTTTAAGGGGAGGCCTTTCCAAATAACCTTTCTTCCTGCCTCCTGTCTCGATGTTCATTGCTAGCACTTCGGTTACAAAACCAATGGAACTAAATTTTGACAAGTACATATGCTTCCCAATGGAAAATCCATAGAGTCGTACAGTGCAGAAAAGGCTCTTCAGCCCATTGAGTCTGCACTGACAATAACTACCACTAAAGGCTCGGTAATCCCAATTTCCTGCACCTGCCTCATATCATTGAATGTTATGATATGTCAAGAGCTCATTCAAATATTTTTTAAAGGTTGTAAGGTTTTCAGCCTCCACCAACTTCCAAGGCAGTGCATTCCAGATTCCCACAACCTGAGTGAAAAGGATTTTTCTCAAACTCCCTCACAGACTCCTGCACCTTACCCTAAAATTATGTACCCTGTGATTGATCCCTCAACCAAGGGGAACAGCAGTTTCGTACTCAATCTGTCCATACCCCTCATAATCTGAAACACCTTAATTATGTCCCCCCATCAGCCTTCTCTGCTCTAACAAAAACAATGCAAGCCTATCTAGTATCTCCTTATAGCTCAATTGATCCATCTCAGGCAACATCCTTGTGAACTTCCTCTGTACCCTCTCTACTGCTAACACATCCTTCCTGTAGTCAGGTAACCAGACTGCACACAGTACTCCAGCTGTGGCCTAAAAACACTTAGGACAACTCCAACATGACCTCCTTGTTCTTATACTCAATGTCACAACTGATAAAACCATATGCCTTCTTAGTTAACCTATTCACATGCTGTGCCAACTTCACAGATTAATGAATAATTACCCCAAGATCCCTCTATTCCTCTGAGCTACCCATGTTCTGACATTTATTAATTACTGTCTCATCATGTTTCTTCTTCCAAAATGCATCATCTTTGTCAGGGTTAAATACCATCAACCATTGGTCTGCCCATCTGACCAATCCATCTATATCTTCCACTAACCTATAACCATCTTAGAATCATAGAATCCCTGCAGTGTGGAATTCGGCCCATCAAATCTACACCACCCCTCTGAAGAGCATCCCACCTAGACTTGCACTATCTCTGTAAGCCTGCATTTGCCAAGGCTAATGTTACATATCCCTGGACACAATGGGCAATTTAGCATGGTCAATCCACCTAATCTACACATCTTTGGACTGTGGGAGGAAACCACAGCACCTGGAAGAAACCCACACAGACACGGGGAGAATGTGCAAACTCCACACAGTCCCCTGAGGCTGAAATCGAACCCGGGTTTGCTCGCAAGTTCAACAGAGACCCTTTCTGAACCTGCGTTTTCCTTTTCCAGAGTGAAGACCAAAGAGAAATATTATTTTAACATAATTTCAATATTCTACTGCTTCACATACAAATTGTCCCCTTTGTCCCTAATGGGCCCTTCTCTTTCCCTGGTTAACCTCTTCACTTTCATGTATTTATAAAATATCTTAGGATTCTCCCTGATCCTGTTCGCAAATCCTTTGTCATGTTTCCTTCTGCTTTTCATAGAATCCCTACAGTGTGGAAACAGGCCTTTCGGCCCAACAAGTCCACACTGACCTTCAGAGCATCCCACCCAGACCCGTCCCCCTATAACCCACTGAATCTACACATCCCTGAACACTGTGAACAATTTAGCATGGCCAATCTACCTAGCCTGCACATCTTTGAACTATGGGAGGAGCACCCGGAGGAAACCCATGCAGACACAGGGAGAATGTGTCCACACAGACAGTCGCCTCAGGGTGGAATCGAAACCCGGTCCCTGGCACTGTGAGGCAGCAGTGCTAACCACTGAACCATCGTGTCACTTTAAATTCCCTCTTGCACATCCTAAATTCCTCTAGTGCCGCAGCTGAATTGCTCCCTTTGCACTTGCTAAAAGTCCTACTCTTCTTCCTTATCCAATTCTGAATTGTCCTCAACACCCAGCGCTGCTTGAATTTATTGCTTCTATATTTCACTGTAAAGGATACATGTTGGACCTGTACTCTTTCCAGCTCCTTTTTTGAATGCCCCCCACTGTACACTGCTGTTCACATCCCGCAAGGAGCTGTTCCCAGTCAACTTTGGCAAGATCCTGCTTTACTTTAAGATGGATAATATGGAAAATGTTCATGAAAGAGACCGCTGTCTGATGCTAAATACAATGTCCAAACCTGATGCCATAGTTGAAATCAGTGAACTTGGTGTTAACCATGAACTGAACCATTTTTGTAATCAATGTAAATTGCTAATTATGGATGATATAATGAGACCACACAGGGAACTGTGGCATCCCAATTCATGGAATTTTAGTCATTGTCTGTTTACATGTTTTGTAAATCTTGTTTTTGACAGGTTACCCCATCACTAGATTTCTGCAGAGTGATCTCTTTGATGCTCAAATCTATTACCGCCACTTGGGAGATGAAGTGTTTCAAGATTCCTTTGATTTTATCCTGTCTGACAGCCACGAACCACCAAATCTCTCAGATCCTCAGGTATTTGGCTGTATCAAACAGTTTGAATCTTTAGGGTAGGCATATTATACAAGTAGGCTGGAAAATAGACAAAAAACATAGTGATTTTTTTTCACTGGAATAGAGGGGGTTTGAAGGAAGCTTTCAAAATGATGAAAAATGTAGACACTGAAGGGATTGTGAATAACAGAATTGACCCATGGTGTGAGGACTGATTCATTGCAAGAGCCATTCAATTAGTTCTGCACTTCTCCTTGCCCATAACCATGCAGTTTTTCTCCCCTTCAAGTATTCATTCAATTTGCTTTTAGAAGTTAGTCGTGAATCTGCTCTTGATATTCTTTGAAGCAGCTCATGCCAGATAAGAACCAAAAGAAATTTTAAAATTCTTTGCATCTCACTGGAATACTGTGGCGGCATGGTGGCTCAGTGGTTAGCACTGCTGCCTCACACCACCAGAGACCTGGGTTCGATTCTACCCTCTGGCAACTGTCTGTGTGGAATTTGCACGTTGTCTACTTGGGTTTCCTCCAGGTGCTCCAGTTTCCTCCCACAGTCCAAAAATGTGTAGGTTAGATAGATTGGCCATGCTAAGTTGCCCATAGTGCCCAGCGATGTTTGGGTTAGACATGGGGAATGGGTCTGGGTGGGATACTCTTCAGAGGGGCAGTTGGGCCAAATGGCCTGTTCCCACACTGTAGAGATTCTATGATTTAACATTTGCCATTTAATTTAATTCTGTTTAATCTGGTCACTGTTTCCACTGGCACAAAGCTCAATGTTGGAATTCGAAGTAAAATTTCAAAATTTGCCAGTGATCCCAAACTTGGAGGTGTCGCTGACAGTGAGATGATACTAGTCAGCTGCCAGAGGCCATAGATGGGTGAGTGGAATGGGTGAACAAGTAGAAGGTGCAGTTTACCACAGAGAACTGTGAGGTGATATATTTTGGCAGGAAAGTTAGAGAGTGGTGATCTCGACTTAATAGCATTGTTCAAAAGAGAATGCCTGTAGGTTTATGTGGATCAATCCATTTATATGGAATTTTGGACTTTATAAGTTGAGGGATTGAGAGCAAAAGCAGGGAAATTCCACTGGATCTTCATAAAGCAATGGTCAGAGCTCAGATGAGGTATTGCATCCACTTCTGGTCACCATTCCTTAGGAAGGCAGTCTGGATCCTTGAGAAGGTGTGAGGAGTCATTCAAATGTTATAAGAATGAGGAAATTCAGTTAGAAGTTTACACTGAGGTAACCGGAGCTATTCTCCTTGGAGCAAGAGAGGTTGAAGGGAGATTTGATCAAGGTGTTCAAGATCAAAACAGGTTTAAATAAAATTGAGAAAGAAAATTGTTCCTATTCGGTGATGATGATGCCAAGACAAGAGGTACGCAGATTTAAAGTTTTAGATAAGTGCTGCAGGGCAGTAGGTGAGGAAGAGTTTTACTCGGTATGTGTTAATGGCTTGGGACCTACTGCCTGTGGAGGTAGTGGAATTGGAGATGATCAATGATATCAAAAGCAAACTGGACGGACACTTGAGGGAAATAAACTTGTTGGGCTCTGGAGTACAGTGAGGGAATGGGATTGATGGGATTCCTCTACCTCAAACCCATAAGGACTCAATGGGCTGAATGGTCTCCTTCTGTGCTGTATTGATTCTATGACAATATCACATTGTGCCTGACTGTGTAATTGTGCTTTGTAACATTTCTGTTAAATGTAATGGGATGCTTCATAACAATAAAAGCACGATTGTGTAAGTGTAAGTTGTTGTTGTTCAAAGAGCCTCATCTGCAGGCCAAAAATTGAGAAATTGTGAGCACAGTGCCAGTGATTTCCTGATGAAGCTGTCAGGGAGAATGATCCTATGTTTGCACAACAATATCAAACACGCAAACATGGCATCAAATGTTTTCTATTAAACATTTAAATTTACTAAGTACTGTTATTTTTCACTAATCTGTTATCCATGCCATTTTATTCTTTAATGCTGTAAAGCCCAGCCAGTCTTTTCTCACAAAAAATAATTTAATCGCAGACTGTAATTATTCATATTACACCAGTGGATGATCAGCTTCCCAAAGAAGCACCGTGGGCTGTGCGCCATCTTGTTGTCAAGGAGACTGAAATAGCATATCTAACAAAGAACCAACTACATTTCACTGATGCTGAGATACCTGATGGAGAAATTATATATACAATAACAACCGGTCCATTCTTTACTTCAGTGCTTGGGTAGGTTGGTACATACCTAACTCTATCGCATTGTTATAAGTAAGCCAAATATCATGAACGTTCGTGTTACTATTCACAACAAAATATTTTGCTCTTATTTTCGTTTTGCTTTCTGAATACTGTAGTCCTGTGACATGCAATTGTGAGTAGTGTTCGACAATGAAACAATAAGCAGGAGGAGGAAGCTCTGCAAACAGAGCCATCCTAAATGATAGTGAGGACAGTCCTCCAAATTTTCTCTCTCTCTCTCACTCTGGGACGATGCTATTGCATTGGGAAGAAAACAGTCCCTTCAATTCTCATTGAACCTTCTCATTTTGCAGCCCCACCTGTAATACCCTGTGTCAACATTCCAGCCCACTTCAGCAGATTCTGGAAAATTCAGCCCAAGCAGTATCTTGCAAATATATAAAGTACAAAAGGATAGTTAAAGTTAGTGCAAGGACAATTCAAGGCCAAAAATGAAATCTTCTTGCACAGCACATTAGTCAAATCATAGAATCCCTACAGTATGGAAACAGGCCATTTGGCCCAACAAGTCCACACCACCCCTCCGAAGAGCATCCCACCCAGACCCATTCCCCTGTATTTCCCATGTCTAACCCACCTAACCTAAACATCCCTGGGCACTATGGGCACTTTAGCATAGCCATTTCACCTACTGTGCACATCTTTAGACTGTGTGGGAGGAAACTGGAGCACCCGGAGGAAACCCACGCAGACACAGGGAGAATGTGCAAGCTCCATACTGGTAGTCGCCTGAAGCTGGAATGAAACCCGGGTCCCTGCTGTTGTGAGGCAGCAGTGCTAACCACTGAGCCACTGTGCCGCCCATATCTAAAGAGGGTGTTGCTAAAACCACAGCAAAAGTGGAAGGGCCTAAAAATTGAATGGAACAGAAATCCCTCTGCGTAATAGTCACTTATTCCGGATGAGGTGTGACCTAGTGTGCTTAATGAAATATGTTTGGCTTAAGCCAGAATGTTTCGGTCCTCCTTAGTTCTGTACAGTTGCAAATGTTGCACCCCTGTTCAATAAAGGGAGCTATTTACTCTGATAACTAAAGATTGATCAGTCAGTTTAACAATTCTTTCTGAGGTTTGTGAGCCTTTGGAACTCCTTGCCACTGAACGTTATGTTGGCAGAGTCCTGTGCATTTTTAAGGCTCAGATAGATGGATTCTTAGACTATTCATTGGTGAAGCAGGCTTGAGGGGCCAAACAGAGCCTACTCCTGTTCCTGTTTCTTCCTATCTCATGGTGTTGTGAAAACAATTTGTCTCTATAATTCAGGACAATATTAATGCGCAATTTAGAGATATGTTAATAAATGACAGATTTCTGTAAACTAGATTTAATTCTGTCAGACTTGATTGATATCTATGAAGTAACAGAAAAAGTTATTGAGGAAAGTAGCATAATATACAGACTTCTTGAAGGTGCTTGACAGAATACCTCATGAAAGACTTGCGTATGATACTGAAACCCGTTGGATTAAAGGGACAGTGGTTACATTGATGCAGAATTAATGAAGGGTTAGAAAGTGGATAATAATAGTGTTGGTTGTTTTTCTGGATGTGCAATGGGGTTGATATTGGGTCAATATTCTGTTTCAACCTGGGTTTTTGTCTATAAAATATAAATCAAAATTTGCAAATGACATAAAATGTCATAAACAATAAAGATAGGATTGGAAATTTTAAGGAGTTGTATAGAAAGAGTGATGAAATAGAAGGATGTAAAGCTAATGGAATGATGCTGCTTGGAATGATGAATGAGGAAGTACCATACAGAGCAGGCTGTATTGTGCTGAAGAGATTTACGAGAATGAATTTGGAGATGAAGAACTTCAGACATATGGAAATGTCAGAGAACCCCTGATTATAGCCAGGAAGATTAATGGATGATTTAATGCAAGTTTTCAATACTTTTAAGGATTTTTTATAACAAGACATTATTCCTAGTGACAGGAAGGTTAGTAACACAGATTTAAGGCCATTGTCTTCAGAAGCAAATAGAAAATGAAGATTCTTGACATGCGGAGGGCTGTAACGATCTGGGATGTAGTCTGTGAAAGTGAAGTGAGTCAGATTCATTGGAGTGCAGGTTTATAGAAAAGGGGTGCGAGGGATAGGGGATGGGCAAATCATTAGAATAAATACTGGATAATAGGATTAGTGTTATTTTGAAAAGCAAGAATTAATCAGGGTTATCAACATAGTTTTGTCAATGGAAGATCATGTCTTTTAACTTAATTGAATGTTTTGAGATAACAAGGAAGAATGATTAAGCTAGTGTAGTGGATTTGACAAGGTCCTATATAGCAGATTGGACAGAAAGTTAAAGCCTGTTGGATATTGGACAATACAGAACATAGAACTAAGGATAATATGGCACAGGCCTTCAGCCAACATTTCTGTCTTGACAATGATGCCATTCTATACTAATCCCATCTGCCTGCATATGGTCTATATCTCTCTATTCCCTGCCTGTTCATGCATCGGTTTAAATGCTTTGTAAATGTTGCTATCATTGGATCTAGAACATTTCACATGTTGCTGTAGCATTCTCTATTTCCTTCATTGGGAGTTCTGTTTTATGCAGTTTATGATAAGCATCAGCTTCCTTTGCTTGTGTGTTATGTCTAGATGTATCTCTAACTGAAATAACATTCTTCGAAGATGTTTTGGAGCATTAGTGGCGGCTTGAGGAAAATGTTTTGAAGTGGCCTGAGGCCAGACTAGACTGTCAGTATGTCTCTTCTAAGTAGGTATTATTGAAAATGTTCCCAAGCAAAATCAACAACTAGGCCCTTTTTTTTTCTCAATCCGACTACAGTGTCTTTTCGTTTGTGTTAATGTCCTGTATGTAAATACAACTGGCTGTCCTTGGTGTATTAAGGTTGTTCCAAGTCCTTGGTGTATTAAGATTGTTCCAAATCCCCCCTCATTGGCGTTTCAATGCAGGATGATCTTCACTATTTATATCATGGTATTTCACTGTTGTCATTGGCATTGTCATTACTAGTTGCTCGATTTTGGTGAATGCTGCTTCTTGTGCCCCAATACTACTGCAGGAATTTTGCCCAATAGTTTGACAAATCCAACAAATTGTTTCACTGCTTTTACATGGATTGATTACTGAATTGCTGCTTCGATTCTCAATTTTTCAGGATCTGGACGAGACCTTTAGCTGTCAGTACGAGGTCTATCAACTTGACTTCGAGTATCTTTAATCATGATTATTTGCAGGCTCAGGTTGAGCAGTCACATTAGATTTTAATTATGGTCACAATGGCTTCTTCCACTGTGGGTCTACATCCGTAAACTATCATCCACTGCAGCTTCTGCTTTGAGACGATTGCTAACTATCTCATCTTGTCCTCTAGAGCCATGGATATGCTAAACAGCACGTGCAACCATGTGTATCACCAAAAAGATTCTAGAATATGCTTAGAAAGTTAGTTGCCGGTAACCATGCTGTAGATTTAGGGTCATGAAGATTTTTGACTTTACAAGTTGGCAAAATTCCTTCGGTGGAGTGAAACCTCTTCAGAGCTTTATTTAGATCCTTTGGGTCAATGCATATTCACAGCAGGTTGTTTCATTGTTACTATGCTGCTAATCCATTCTGTTGGAAATGTCACTTTCTTGATTACTCCCTGCTTTTCCAGCTCCTCTATGTTGTCCTTTAAGTTGGCCCTGAGGGCAGCTAGAACTTTATTCAGCAAATGCAGAATTGATTTTACACTTTAATTTACTCCACCTGGAAGATATCCTGGCTCTGTAAACACATTGTTGTACACCTCTAGGATCTGTTCTGCTGACAATGGCTTGCCTGCAACACATTGCAAATCTCTGTTGGCACATTGAGGGTCACCAATGTAAGTTTTAAACTTGATCCAGCTGAGATGATGAGATATTGCTTGCTGCCTATAATCCAAAACTCCAGATCTTCATCCTATTGTTGCAGTGTTCTCATGGAGTAATCTGTCCTCTTGGAACAAGTATGGTGCCATTATATAGCCTTAAGGCAAAGTGAGAATAAAGCAAATTTGAGGCAAAATTGAATCAGAGATAGTAGGAACTGCAGATGCTGCAGAATCCGAGACAACAAGGTGCAGAGCTGGATGAACACAGCAGGCCAAGCAGCATCAGAGGAGCAAAAAGGCTGACATTTCAGGCCCAGACCCTTCATCAGAAATGGGGGAGGGGAAGGGGGTTCTGAAATAAGTAGGGAAAGAGGGGGAGGTGGATAGAAGATGGATAGAGGAGAAGATAGGTGGAGAGGAAACAGACAGGTCGAAGAGGTGGGGATGGAGCCAGTAAAGGTGAGTGTACGTGGGGAGTTAGGGAGGGGATAGGTCAGTCCAGGGAGGACGGACAGGTCAAGGGGGCGGGATGAGGTTAGTAGGTAGGAGATAGGGGTGCGGCTTGAGGTGGGAGGAGGGGATAGGTGGGAGGAAAAACAGGTTAGGGAGGCGGGGACGCGCTGGGCTGGTTTGGGGATGCGGTAGGGGGAGGGGAGATTTTGAAGCTTGTGAAATCCACATTGATACCATTGGGCTGCAGGGTTCCCAAGCGGAATATGAGTTGCTGTTCCTGCAACCTTCGGGTGGCATCGTTGTGGCACTGTAGGAGGCCCAGGATGGACATGTTATCTGAGGAATGGGAGGGGGAGTTGAAATGGTTCACGACTAGGAGGTGCAGTTGTTTATTGCGAACCGAGCGTAGGTGTTCTGCAAAGCGGTCCCCGAGCTTCCGCTTGGTTTCCCCGATGTAGAGGAGGCCACAACGGGTACAGCGGATGCAGTATACCACATTAGCAGATGTGCAGGTGAACATCTGCTTGATGTGGAAAGTCTTCTTGGGGCCTGGAATGGGGGTGAGGGAGGAGGTATGGGGGCAGATGTAGCACTTCCTGCGGTTGCAGGGAAAAGTGCCGGGTGTGGTGGGGCTGGAGGGGAGTGTGGAGCAGGCAAGGGAGTCATGGAGAGAGTGG